TCAAGAACACAAAGAAAAATCTTTATCTTTTTCCGTTTTTTTTTTCTGTTCCTTACCATTTTTTTCTTCACAAATTCGAGAACACAGTATAAAAAGTTTAAACGGGTGATAAAAAACACTAACATCAGGTGACATTGAAAACTGATCTATTTATATTGATTTACATAGTGTTACTCGAAAATCGGAAGAATTAATATTGTCAAGTGGTGTCATTCTATATACGAAAGATATATCATAGGATGTTTTGATGGTGAAATAAATTGAAGATACTATGTAAAAATGTTATGGTAGATAATATTAATTTAGACATAATTATTGATTTGATTTTGCGTCTAGGGATAGTAAAAAAAACGGTTTTATATAAATTTAATGTTTTCTGATGATAAAAACAATCTATTGATTTTTTTTTACTTACTGAGGGTCTTTTTTCACATCTCGCATATGACCTATAAAATGTCAAGAACAACTCTGCAACCTTATCAGATGCATTTAACAAAGTGAATCCAAGTGTAGATATAACTAACAATATCTGGTATGATTAGGTCTGAAATGATATAGATGGTATGATAGTCGGGAATCAGACTGGTTAATTTGTCAACGAGGATGTTGACTCTGAAGGGTGGTGGATTGTAAGATCTCACATCGATTGGAAAGAGGAGCAAATGTTGTCTTATAAGAGATTAAATGCTTTCTTTATTTGGCGTGCTTTAAAAGCATGAGTCCAGATGTAAACAAAATGGACAATATCTAATACGATTAGCTTGAGATGTTATAAACAAATTTTGTAAAAAAATATATGTTTATAAAAATAAGTTGTGGATCTTGAGTTGGCATGCGATATGGGGAATAAGTTAAGATCTTGACCTTGTCGTTAATGCATTATTGTTTGTACTCTATGCTTCATTACTTGTACGTTGATTTGAATGAGTATTCAAGATTTGGAAAATACTGTTATCATGGAAGACTTTATGAAGTCAACTAATAAAAGAAATTTAATTTGCGGGTAATTTGTCTTATTAATGGAAAATATTGTAAACATAACAAAATAATTAAAATTAAAAAAATAAAGTAATATTTGTAAATAGCAATGACGACATGTACAGTACCAGTCCAGAAAGATTCTTTATGTTTCCATTGTATGCCCATCATTATCATCATCAGTACATGAATGTGTCATCCTCATGAATCATAAGCATCCAATTCCATGTATGCATGTAATATTATTATGATGAACCCCATAGTCATTAGATTCCAATGTGTTGGAATATAATTTTCATATTATCTATGTATTATTATAAAACATTTGATAAAAAACTTTTAAACATATTTTTTATTCATAAAATAATGTTTATTGATGCGTATTACTTAAAATTCAAGATTATAAATAAACTATGTGTAAATACAACTTATTAATTAAAGTTGTATGTTTGAATTTATGTAATTAACTGTAGATAAATATAATCAAATATAAAATAAAACATAATACAAATAAGTATTATCTTCGGTTTTTAATTATTAAATGAAGAAATTAATGCCAAACTTATTTGAATATTAAAGAAACACAAAACACGAGCATTCAAATGACAATTTAATACTAATTATTCAACTAAACAAATAAACCAAGAATTACATTCAACCAATCAAATTAAATCATTTACAAATAATTATTTGATCTGAAAACCAACGGATTGATAATAAATAAATCAAGTATTAATTTGACTTTAATTCATCATCTAATGAAAACAATATATCGTGAATTATTTAACATGCAAGCCACCGGGAGACATCAAGGTTCCTTTAAGAATAGAAATTATGGTTTCACAACATTAATTTTGGCTACTTGGTTGTATTATCACACATATATATTTTTATATTCTCAACATGGACTTGAATATCAATCAAAATGATATGAATTTGTATGTATGTTTATATATATATATATATATATATATATATATATATATCTGGATTTTCTTAAACAAAATATTGACCAATTGCATGCATGGATTCATTGCATATAAGTAGGTTTGGTTAGTACAATTAGTATCTATTTATTGTATTTTTAATCAAAATCTTAGGGGTGTAGAAACCAAGTATTCGAATATATTATGTAACCTAGATTGGGAGCATATCGTATATGAAATATATATATATATATATATATATATAAAGCATATTGTATATGATATATATAGGGAGAGAGAGTGTGTTACGTTTATACGAGAATAATAACTAAATAAAATGATAAGAAAATGGTCGAATCATATGTGATTTTATACTAAAATTATGTGTAAAATCACATGTGATTTACGCGAATTTACACGTGACTAAGGTCGTAGGCCACGTCGCCCACACATCCTTACAGTGATCATTAGTGTAAAATCACATGTGATTTGCCTGATTGCGTTTTCTTTTATTTGGTTATTGTTTATGTTTGAACCTTCTTATATATATATATATGGTTGGTTCATGTGAAAAATATTATTTTGTGAGAAGCGTGACAAATAGAACATTCATATAACATAACAAAACCTTCATATACTTTCAGGTGCATTCAACTACATTTATTTACCTATTTTTATTATAATGACCAAAAATTTAACAAATCTATATATGTAAACGTTAGTGAAAGCAGTTTAAAAGTTAAAGGTGAAGATACATTTGAAAATAAAGGTAGATTAATGTAGTTGAAGATAACTAAAGGTAGATGAATGTAGTTGACGATATGAAAAACAGATGAAGAAAATTAAGTTAGTTTAAAAAGTCAACACATTCAAAGCTCATAAGAGTATGTGTGTGTGTATATATCAGACTTCCTCCATTCTCCGATCTAAATGGTACATAGAGGCATCGTGAAGGAGTGAAGAATGCCCCTTTCCTCTTTCTCTGATAAAAAGGCTCACTTCTTCAATTCAAGTTCAACTTGCTTAAGACGAAGGAACCGAGTGCCAAAAAAAAGGAAGACTTTGGCGATTCATATCATAAATGGCTATCTAGAAACCCCGTCGCTCGTCTTATGGAGACGTGTGTGTTGAAATGTGTAAACTGCTATTGAATACCCTTGTTCAAATTCATATCAACACTTATGTGTGCATATTTTCCCCTTAAATGCTTCTTTGGGAAAGAACTCCTTGCTACAAATGTTATTTAAAAATAAAATTTCCACAAAATTGAGATAGGGCAACCCTTCGACTTCTACTTCAGGTTCCTCCATCCCTAAAGGAGCCGTATGAGCAACTTTACTAATAACAGAAAAACCTTTAACTTAATATAACTCATTATATTAGTAAATCCTATTTTTAGAGCTGCCTTTACACCAGTATTCAAATAAGAGAGCTTTCAATAAAGCATTTCTCGCTTAGAACCTAACATATATGTGTGTAGGGTTGAGTTCCAGTGAGATGGAGAGTTAAAGCGAGAAGCGTAAGAAAAGATCCCCACCATTGAATGCACATTAAGATGAGATGTACCAGATCAATCCCTGTATCAAACGCGATTCATGAGTGCGTTTGAGATTAAAATGATCAATGGTGGAGATCCCTTCTTACATATCTCATCTTAACTCTCCTTCCCATACGATACTTCGTTTTTTTGTATATATCAGTATATATAAGTGTATGTAATCATGTACTTGCATTAATAATATATGTAATTTTAGGTGCATTGTGTTCGGACCTGACAACATCATTTAAATGCCTCTTGTGGAAAACTTGAAATCAAATTAAGGTTGCGTTATATCAACATATACATATGCTAACCAATGTCTTTGTCAATTTTTTCCATCTAGAAATTAATTTTACATTGACTTCTTCTTTTATTTGATTATTTTGATGTATATTTTCATATTTATACCAGACACATTGAAAACAATGTGATCCATTTTGGTTTTTTTTTTCCTGATCATCAAAAGGTAAAAAGGACGAATTCGTCATCGTTAGCTACATACTTAATTCTCATGATCAATTGATCGACTCCACCAAAATAACATGTATCAATAAGTAATTAAACAACATCCACACTTCCAATAAATAATGTAATTAATATGTTTATTTGTTATGAAAATGATATATCGTGTTATCATGAAGCAAGATATGTTATATATGATATCATCAGGCGTAATCAATTTTTATTGTAAGTTACATCAATCGTTCATAAAACAGTTTTTACTTGATTTAGTTAATATATTGATTAAATAGATTATGACCCTGTAAACTTGAAAAACGAAAAATAAAATTAACACTAGTTCAATGGGCGCATTTGAATGGAACATTGATCAAGAAAATTTCTAATAATCCTTAGGATACTGAAATTGACGATTTATGAGGAGGAGACTCAAGATACAACATTTATCTACTAATTAAGTGAATTGACCCTCAAAGTACATCTTATATTGTTAGAATTAATAGGATCAAATGTACCATCACAATGAAGTCTATTTTTTTTTTTTCATCACAATTTTGAAAAACCGTAAATCAAAACATTTATTTTTGTGTTCTTACTAATTGATTATTATAAAACAAATATTTTCTAAATATTATTACATACAAATTATACAAAATCCCATAAAATACCAACCATATTTTTGTGGGATCTTTTGGAGTCTTGTGCTTCTTCATTCAAATGATCATCATAGATTGTACTTGTACCATGTGTACAAAAACATGAACTACATATGCTAATTAATTCTTTGCCAAAATAAGCTAAAAGAACATACATTTGAACAAAAGGATGTGATCCAAAGTTGGCACAACAAACATTTGATACTTCTGTAACAGTAAATCAGTTTTTGGCTTATTGAAGTTGAAATTCAATTCATAGTTTGATTACTACATTAAGTATAAAAAATATAAAATTAAATGCGTAAAAAATGAATATGATTAAGAAAAACATTGATACATGTTTTTAACTATGAAAATGGGTACCAGAAATATGAATAATAAGGGCTTAATTACCAACAGATGTAGGTAACTGCTGAGTTTTGTTCTTAATAGACAGTTTCCTTTTGTAAGAGCCACAGGCCAGTTAAAAAGTGACTTATTGAATTGAACATCTGATAATTATAAGACGTACAATTATTGGTCAGATCTAATTAAGCTAAAATAAATATATAACTTCAATCTTTTGCAACTTGCACCTGCACCCTCACCCTCACCCTCACCTGTTAATTCCATTCCCACATCTTTCCAGCTTCATCACTCGTCATCATCAATCATCATCATCATAACAAAAAGCTTACTGGACAACATTTCCATTATGCACCCCTAAAGAATAACAAAATGTTACAAAACATCAATAATTCTTTGTTTCTTGCAACTCTGAAAACCTAACAAATCCATCTCTGTGTTGCTTCTTCTATTGCCATTGCAACTACTAACGCTTTTAATGTTTACTCCGAATAAACGTAACATCTGAACTGGTTCCACACATTTGGTGGCCGGTTGGACTTGGATGGCTTGTGGGTCGGTATTGCCCGACCCACTTTTGGACTTCCAGTCTATGTAAAGCTGCTTGTTTAGTCCGGTTGAGCTCTGAAAGTTCACAGTGTCACCGGCTTTTAAGTTTTTCTCTTTCACAAAACGGCTCCAACCTTTCGTTAAAACATAGCTCTGGCTACTGTTCCAATATGAGTATCGAAATCTCCATACTTTTGCATCTGAATCTTCGAAATGTAAAAGAACTCCTTTGGAAGTGCTTCCTCTCTGAACCGGAAAGTGTTTTTCGGCGTGTTGTTTTGGTATCACCAGCCGGTTCAATTTTCCGACGTCGCTGGGTGTCACCGTCTTCTGGAAGAGGTGTTCACGGGGCTTCACCACACCTGAACCGGAACAACCACCGTCTCTTGAACTGGTTTTGTCTAAGTTGCAGTTTCTCTTGCTTTGCTCCAGCTCGTCATTGTACGTGTGTTTCCTCAGCATATCCACGATCTCGGCTTTGGAATGAGAACTCAAGAAACTAGCTTCCAAGCTGGCTTCTTTTGTGTCGGCTACAAGGGGTTTGAAATTCGTGACGGCGTCTCGGCCGCGAAACCGTTGTACGGCGACGTCATACGCTTTCGCAGCTTCGTCTTCTTCGTTAAAGGTGCCAAGCCATACCCTTTGGTGTTTTTCGTAAATCTGAGCTCCCCAACGACCGTTTGGTTGTGGGACGACTCCTTTGAATCTTGATGACGGCAGCTTCCTCGACTGGGCTTCCAACCCACCTTCCGGGTCTAGAACCATGCTGGCTCCGCTTCCAACACGGCACAAGCTAATCATCTCCGGCGTGGAGACAGGCGGAGCAAGGGTTGAGGTGGTTTCACTGGTTGTGCTTTGGTCGTCTGTGCAGTTTCTATCCATTTTTGGAGAGAGAAATGAAGGGGGAATCAGGTCCAATTGGTGTTTGTAGAGAGAGAAACAAAATAAAAAGATTATGGAATGGGTATGAGAGAAGGGTTGTGTATATATAGGGAGATATCAAATCTTCATGTGGGTGTTATTTCAATATTATTTTAATTTCATGTTGTCGTATAATAATCCTACTTGACTATATATTCCTGCCTATATTATGTACGTATTGGGAAACAGGCCAAATATGTGTAGGTAAGAACCCCGAACCTTCATATATATATATATATATAAATCTTTATTAATTATCTCGGTCATTCATCATGTAAAACTTGACAACTTGTGTATATTGGTCATTCACATATAATACTCATATGTCATGCATCGTTGACAATAACTTAATATTAATTACGCAAAAATAACTCTACATCAAAACCCGTACGGTTCATGAAATCGATGTATACATATATGGCCGATAATCACGTAAGAAATTTGAACTCGTTGATATAAATGAGTTTTTAAAACGCATAAATTTTCAAGATATTTATGCATAAACTCAACTTTATAGTATAGTTTAATGTGTTTATCAATCGGTTTTATAAAATTGAAATTCAGAGGTTTAAAGAGTTATACATGTAGAATAATGAGTTTTAAATTTAAACTTTAATTTAATATGCATTATTAAAAACTACATAATCGTTTCTTAATAAGTTGGTTGAGAGAGTTTTTTTTTTCTTCAAATAATATTGGTTTGTTAAATATTGACATCATGTGTGTCTTTTTGGTTCGATATGATTAAAATTATAAATATGTAATTAATCAATAAAATGCTCTAGAAAATTAAGCAACCAATTTTAGGGTTTTAATTGAAATTGTGAAACTAGGGTTTCGAAATTGCAACAAGCTAGTTTAAGTAAAGCAGTTGACTTTCTTGTTTACACAACGTGAGGTGATAACTTTTAATTACTATTTGGTAGTTGAATTGCACTCAATCCAAAACGACTATTTGAAATCTATATTTGGGTCTAACCAATTAATTATGGCTAATTAAATCAAGGTTTTAATTTGATTAATTTAATTATGCCGAATGCAATTAATGTAGCAAGATTAATATCGTTATTTGAGGTCGTAAAAGCATGATGTTTAGTTAGCAATAATTAATTACGCAAAAATAACTCGATCATCTGAATCTTGTATAATTGTGTCTCACGAATGCCCGGTTGAGTCGTTAGCTAAGCATGCTTACATGTACAATGATTAAGTGATGAACCATGTTTTATAAATCAACATAGAATTTTTAACATGATCCTACCATATTGACAGAGGAGTTCAAATGGTTTGTTTTTCAAGATTACTGTTTCAATGTATTTAATTTCTACTTATGTTGATTACGACATTGTATGTAATAACTTACCCAGTAAGCGTTAACCGTGATAAGAGTCGTCGTCATCACTTACCAGGTAAGACTCTCGATCTTTGTCTTCGCTTTTACCGAGTAAGATTTTCTTGGTCTTTGTCATATTCATCCGATAAGGTAATGTGACTTGGTAAGCACCTACCTAGGTAAGCATTAGGTAAACGGCCCCTTAATCTGCTCTGTGGAGAAATCTGAGCACGCCCTAACTCGATCAACTGGTAGGGGTGAATGTACATGATACCTACTTTTATCCTTTATACACCATGTACATTATTATCGGTACCAAAAAATGCTATACCATATACGAACCAATTATAACTGGTACAAATATCTTATAACATGTACCGATAAACTTTATTCGGTACCAACTTAATTAATTGTAACAAGTTTTTGCGGTTGTTACATGTTGGTATTGGCTTTGTACCAACTTTGTAAAAATGTAAATGAATTATGTTAAATAACTTCCAGCCCCAAATAAATTCTCTTGAAGCAGAGAAGGTTCAAACCGTATTAAGTGAATTTCATAAGTATATGAACAGATGACAATCACATCAAAGCAGTGGCGAATGCAAACTAAAGGCGTAGGGGGCACAAGCTCCCAACAAGTAACCCCAAGAAACACCCAAATAAAACATGAGTGGTAGGTTTTAAATTTTATTTAACCAAAAATTAATAATAGGCCTCCAACAATTAAAGGTAAGGTTCCAAATCTAAATTTATGTGTCTCATTTATAACTCTTACTTCAATGAGTCATTACTTTCAGGATCAATTAAACGCCCTTAAGTTCCACGTTTCAATCTGTTGGAAATCATTTTATTTTTCTTATTTTATTTGCTATAATGCTAATGATTTGATAATCACTATTTTAACTTGGATTTCGAATTTGGCACCTTAACTAGGTCATCGGGACATCCAAAATAATTAATTAAACACATATGTCAAAATAATATATATATATATATATATATATATATATGTGGGGATGTACTCCATCTTTTTTCAAATATATATATATATATATATATATAGAGAGAGAGAGAGAGAGAGAGAGAGAGAGATATGATGGGGCAAGAGCAACATGAATGTGTTTGCACATATAGAGAGAGAAGGAGGGGAGGGGGACCAAATTGATGGGGTTCACATGAAAGGGAAACTAAGTGATGTGTTTGGTGCATCCCCTTTGAGCCATGCTTCTTGGACTGCTGACCAACTCTATATATGACCATGGCACCCTTTAATTTTCTCTATCATGATGCTTATCTGGATTCCCCTTATTGAAACCACCAACAAATAATACACAACATTTTGATGCATGGATCAGGATATATATATATATATATATATATATGTAGTTTTAATTCCATTAGGATGGGAGGGTTATGGACCAAGTTATATGAGGCATGGATACACTTATCAACAAAAAAGGGAAAAAAAATGAAAACTAGACTTCCAACAAAGAAAATTTTCATTAAATTCTTGCCTTTTTTTGTCAGTGCAAACAATTTTCATATTAACCAAAAAGCAAATTTTAAGAAAACAAAAAAGAAAGAAATTAAAGAAGAAAAGAGGGTCACAAAAGGGTACATGTACAACTAAGATCCACACGAAACTACAATAAATGGAAAAAACCGACATGGCTATATATGTGATCCTCATATTTAATGGAAATCTACTGGCATTTGGAATATTCGTATTTCTGAATCACATGATTCTATAACTCGTAAGCTCCTATTTAGTGGTGTTTGAGCAAAGACGGATTCAAAAAAAGTTTGTAAGTAATGACACCATTTTAGTATGAGGAAAAAAATGGAAATTTAATATAAAAGTGTTATAAAGCTGTTGATTGGTTAATTGCCATCGCACAAAAAGATCCTGTGTTCAGATCACGTCTTCAAAAAAAAAAAATTAGAAACACGAAAACTACATAAAAACCCCCTCTAGTCAAAGTAAAAAACTTTACAAAAGAATATTCAAACTCAATCCTTTTGTATAAGGGCAGCACCATTAACTATCTATGTCATTACAAACTTATGCAATTAGTTTATTTTCAAAAGTTACAAGAACATTCAATGAAACGATAAAACAGCATCGTACAGAAACTATATTGGTCCGCTCCTGTAGTTGGCTAACTCAATGATCAATTCTAAAGTACAGATTTCACGTGAACTTGTTGGTCACAAATGCAAAAATTTTCCCTATGATATTTAAATCAGTGTCATCCATGATATGTCGGATTGTACTGGATTAGAGAATTAAATAGAAATATTTTCGACAGTTTTTAGATTATCTTGGGAAAGGGTATTTTTGATAGCCTTTTTATTTCTTAAACGACATTAATAATTTTGCATGTGATTTATAGGTTAATAACATTGATAGATTTCTTTGAGTTATAAATTTAGATTTATCTTAAAATACTAATTACCATCTTTTTTCTTTAGAGAACTGAAGTTGTTTTTCATTTTATTTGAGAAATTAATCTATTTATCTTTTTGAAATATCTTTTAGCTGTTCAATTAGCAACTTTTTATCAAACTTATCTGTCGGCATACATGGAAAGCTTTGTACGGCCTTATCGGCTTCCTTTTTTCTTTTTTCTCACTTATTTGATTTTTGATTAAAGAATACAAATACGTGTGTTCGAGTAAATGGCTCCACACAAACACACACACACACACACACAAAAGAAATTATCAAGATAAGAGAACATGAAAACGACCAAATTACATGTGATTTCAATGAAATCACAAATGACTTCGGAACGTCGTTAATGCGAGGGTGCGCTAGCAACTTGACCCGTGTGCTAGGTCACGGCCAAAGTCACGCAACAATCACATGTGGTTTCATCATCAAATCAAATGTTCCCATTCTCGCGTTCTCATTTTGACATCGTTCTCGTTTGAATCTATCTATATACACAAATGTCCAAACGAAAACACATTTATTTTATGAAAACATTCATTCACTACAATCAATCACATATGATATTATAGTTCATTACATGTGATACTTAATCAAAGAGGTAGACGGCCTTTGGTGCAATGTACATGGCAGGCCAAGTCGCTCGACACCAACATGTGTCCCCTCACGTGTGTAATTACATACCATAAACCTATTCTCACATTTTTGTAAATAGAAGGTGTTTTCGTTTAAACCTTAAACTCTCTCTCTCTCTCTCTCTCTATATATATATATATATAAATAATAGTATCTATCGATCTATCTATCTGAGGGCCACAAGAGTGGATTGTGGGCTAGCTAGCAGGATCGAGTCGGGAGTGGCTCTCAATGCCATTATGATCATAGGGCCATATGGGTACCTGCTGTACGACCAATGAATTGAAATCGATGGCCACTCCTTACTATTTTATAACTAATAATTCAATTAATGCCTACTGCATTATTTCTATTAATCACCCAAACTTAATTAAATACATAATTTTGCTCATAATACATTGTGTCAATTCATTATATACGTTGCATGGATAATCGGTTATCTTTGATTTGATTAATTTGAAACATACTATATTATTTCACCAATCAATTTGCTAATTAGAGCTAATTTATGGATTAATGTTGATAGGATACATGTATATGTACATGTCATCGTACGATAAACATCGAACTACGTACGTACATGTATATTTTTA